TATTGTAATTTTGTTTGTTTATTTTTAAATTTTCTTTTTTGTTTTCACTGGAAAGGAAAGATGATGCTCAGTTTTAAACGTTAAAAGTGTACAAGTTGCTTTGTTACAATAAAACTAAATGTGTACACAAAGGATTTGATGCTTTTCTCTCAGAATAGATATACTTTTAATATGACCTTCCAAGTTTGACTTGTATAATAACATCATCGTCAAACTTTGTCACCCTAACTTCGTATATTTTGATACGCACTTTGCAGGATGACCTCAGGGCAATGTGGATTGACTAAAGGGATTTGAATCAATGTCTTAATGTCTCCGTAGCTGGGAAACATGGGTACAATTTGTTATTGGTTTCTGAACATGTCATTTGGGATAGTAGAAACTCAAAACTGAGATATGAGTGATACCCTTGATTTTTATCTCAAATTGGCAGTTTTTAAAGTAGGTCTTCAATTACCTGGATATAGTAGTGCTTTGCTGCCACCATCAAACAGACCTGGTGCTCTAATGTCAAGTTGTTCGTGGGACAGTTGCTGGCATGTCTTCATTGGCTCTATAAAGTGTGGCCAAGAAGATGGGCTCTCAGAGTAAGAAGTCCGTGCTGGTGGTCAGGAAGAACTTTTTGTCTCTTAAGTCCCTGGTATCTGGCATAAATCTCTCCAACGCCAATGTGTGGATCTGGGTGGGATGGTCGACTCTGCTCTGTCTGCTCAATGCTGCTGTGCAGAGAGTAGCATTTTGAAAAGCTACCTAATGCATAAGCTTTTTAATGCTGTAAAATATAGCTGAAATTAAATGCCACTTTTTCAAAGGTGAATTAATGGACAGCCTGGTCAAATTCAAAGCTTTTTGTTGTATAAAACTTTATATATGGAACTATTCCATCAATAGGCAAAGTGTAACCAAAACCTGTCTAGATGGATAGTATGTAATTTCTGCACAGGTCTCTGTTTAGTAAATACATCACTGTATACCGGTCAGGAAATCTTGCTCCAATAAAGGAACATAAAGATTTTTTTTGGACTGGGATCATTCTCCTTGTTTTGTAGAAAAATGTTACTTTCTTTGGATTGGATAATGTATTAGTGACTGGGGAAGGAGGGGGGCCGCTCAAATAGTTTAGTAGGAATTATTCCATAGGTAACAAGGATTGAGCTGGTTGGCACAGAATTTATATATATATATATATATATATATATATTTTTTTTTTTTTTAATTTTTTTTTGGTAAATTGGGTTTTACCTGGGCTGGTCCTGAACTGGTCTTCCTGCCTCAGCTTCCTAAGTAGCTGAATTGTAAAATTTGTACCTGGCTCATAAAAATGTATTAACATCATAATTGGGTTATTTTTAATAGTTGTAGGCAGACACACTACTTGTTTTTATGTGGTGCTGAGGATTGAACCCAGTGCCTCACATGCAAGGCAAGTGCTCTACAGTTGACCCACAACCCTCGCCCCAATAATCGGGTATTTTTTTATGTTGTCTTAGCATTGACTCATAGAAATTGAGTAATTTATTAATATTTCAGCCTCTGATAGTGTTTCATGAAAGTTATCACTTGCCACACAACTGGTTTTATGTACATGTGAGATTCTAGTTTTATTTTTAATACATATGTATGTCCCTCACCTCCACCCCCAGTAGTGGAGATTGAACCCAGGGGTATTTTACCATTGAGTTTTGAGTTGGGCTCTTGCTAAATTACAGAGGCTAGCCTTATGCTTGTGATCCTCCTGGTTCAGTCTCCTGGAGTTGCTGGGATTGCAGGGGTGACTACCACATGCAGCCAGTTTATATTTCTGAGGAATCTTCTGTTCCCAGGACAGCCTTATTACTGGGCCCAAGCAGTTCTGCCTCAGCCTCCTGAATAACCGGTACTGGGGGCATTGTGCCCAGCTATAACATAATGTTCCTTTATCTTGGGGGGTATATATTAAAAGTTTGGGTCTCTTTAAAGTAATAGTCACCCCCCAACCATTATTGTTAATTCTCTAGATACTCCCTCTGTACAAATCTTGCAAGAGTACTAAGCTGTGGAGAAGCAAAATGGTAATCTTTGGTTCCTGAACACTCCTGGAATATCCATTTTACTTGTGTCCTGTTATAAGAGGGATGCTAGTGTGTATGGGGAAGGATTAAATACATCTCAGAGTACTCTCTTGCTCAAGGAGAAAGAACAAGTGGCCTGATTTAGTAGTTTCCACCTTTGGAGGGTATTGTATATTTTCAAACCTGTGCCATACTTTGCTTAGGAGGGGGATTTAACTGCATGAATTGGGGACGCTAGCTTGCAAGGTATAAACAGTTTCAAAACCTTAAGGAATGCTGTTTAAGACCATTCCTGAAGTTAAAGATGACTTTCTCCAATGATTTAAAAAATAAGATAACTGTTCCCTGACCTCTCTCCATAATAGGCTTTCTTCCCCTTCAGTACTAGGGATTTAATCCAGAGGCACTCTCCCCTACTGTTTTTTGTTTGAGACAGGGTCTTGCAAATTTCTCCAGGGTGATATCAAATTGAGATTCTTCTGCCTCAGCTTCCTGATTTGCTGGGATTACAAGTGTGCACCACCATGTTCAGCTAACATGCAGAGTTTAAATGATCCACAAAATACCTGGATGCTATGTTTGGGTGACAATGTTACTTTGCATTCAATCTACCTATGGGTTTCTAAAAGAAGTTTGTATTATATGGATATTGGGGGTCTTGTAGGTATCAGGACTCAACAATTGTGCATATGGGTTCATTTTAGTAACAATTAGCTTCATGGTTTCACTTAGTTCCCCCCAAAGTATTTACCCCCTTAGGTTTTTGCAATGAACCCTTTAAAAGTGTCACCATAATGCAGTTCTGTTACAAAATGAAGACTCAATTTATTTAATGTTTTTTTGTGGGCCTCAAACATGGAAGTATTCTACCTAGGAGCCACATTCTCAGCCCTGAGTTGAGTGAATACTATGTATTTTCTAGTCTGCACCACCCCAGCAATGACCATTCCCATTAGAATGTGATTGCTGTTTACTTTTTAACAGGTCTGAGGAAAGGACTAGTTGTGATTAGAATAAGAATAGTGGCAAGGACTTTTAAAGTGGAGCCTGTGTATGTCAACTTGAATAGTTGGTGACATTGTGTACTGAGAATCTACCCAGAGACTAAATGTAGATGGGCTGCAGTGCTGAGAGCCTTAAAGAATTAAGCAGCCCTGGACTTGGTTTCTTGGTTTCGCGTTTCTTGTTGGTTTTCCCATCCTGTACACATTAGATGGATTCTGCTACCTCTGGACTCCTTCCCCTTCTTGTGAGGCAGTGAAGGAAATACTTAACAGCAAACTGTCTAATTCAGCTTCCTGGGTGCACAATGGATAAATGGTCCTGGAGCTGAGAAGTGAACACCTTCCTGTGGAGAGTTATGTGGCATTTGGCTTCCAGAAGTAGTGACATTCACCCGTCAAGTCTAATAAATATTTTTAGTGTTAATTGAACTGATTGTACCTTTGGGCAACTCAAAAAGAGAGTAGCCTTGCTAGTTTGGTTTGTGTTTTTCTTTTTTGATGAGACACAGTCGACTGGGGCTTTTTACTTATAAATGATGAATGATAATAGCTCAGGATAACTCTCAGTTTAAGGAGCCTACTATGCTACTATAGTTCTAGAACTTTTAAGTCTGAGGTGAGAGGATCCCTTGAATCCAGGAGGGATTACCCCATTTGACACCAACGCTAGAGGAGTAGGGGGCAGCAGCCAGGTCGCGGGTATGGGCATGGGGAGAGCCTGGGGAGTAGGAAGAGGCTACCCCAGCAGGGAGGGGGCCCGCTACCCAAGCAGTGCTCTGCGACTGGTAGGGGGCGCTGCCCCCACTCCGGCCGACCCGCGTGAGCACGCGGCGGGGCAAAGCTGGAGGAACCCGGACTGGGGAAATGCCCTTCCTGCCCCTCCATTCCCGGGAGCATCAGTGTCACACCGAGCCGGAACTGCAGCCTCAGGAGACCAGGCGCGGGGCCCATTCCCGCTCAATTCGGACCCGCGGCTGCGCTGCGGTCTCGGATTTAGAAGAGGGGTCTGGGGCGCTGGTCGCGCGGGTCTCGGGAGGGGGCGCCCGATCCCGCGTCTTCCGCGCCGCCTCCCGGGAAGTTTCAAGTTTGAAAGCGCTGGCGGAGGAGCCGGGGCTTCCGGAACCGGAGTGGACAAGAGGAGGGGCCCGAGCGGCCCGAGCGGCGCCATGGAGGAGGGGGCGCCGCGGCAGGTGAACGGCGTGGGCGACTCTGGGCTGCGCGGGCCGAGGGGCGCGGGCCGCCTTGTCCACCGTCTCCGGAGTCCAGAGCTCGGCTCGTGGCCCCGCCCCGCTCCCAACCCTCCAGTGTCGCTAACCGCGACGCCTTCTCAGGGCAGACCCCAGCCCCGGGTTAATTAGCTAATGGTCCCTGGGTTCCTCGGAGCCCCTAGTCCGGCTAGCCCAGAGCTTGTCCGAAACTGCAGTGGGCGCTGCCTGGGAGGGCGCCACAGTTCCCTACAATCGGTTCTTCCAGAACTCCAAGGCCCAGGGGAATTATCCGGGAAAGCAAAGAGGGGCCCAGTGGCACTTGGGAAGGTGCCCGGGGGCAAAGAGGTGTGCACGCAGGGGGTAGAGGTCCAGTCTGTGTGCGCTTGTGGGGCGCTCACCCCAGAGCACATGGGGCACATGGGCGATGTGTAAGCCAGAGAGGCGCCCAGCCTAGCCGCGGACTAGAATCTTTGGGTACACAAGGGTTTCCAGAATGTGTGTGTGTGGGAGGGGCTCAAGGCTTCTACCCCTAGTTGGCAGTAGATGTGCTGTGGGCCCAAAGAGCTTAGGGTGTGTGTGTGTGTGTGTGTGTGTGTGTGTGTGTGTGTGTGTGTGTG